AATTTTGTTATATCCCATAACATCTTTGATTGTACAAATAATTTTATAAACATATGTACCAGCAGATCACTATAATTTTCAAAGTTAAAATATAAGACCATACGTATATGTAATACGAACGGGTTAAGATAAAAAAAAAGAAAAAAAAGAAGAGAAAGAGAGAGAGGCATCAAAACGACAACAATCGAGCGCGTTTAGACACGGAGAGAGAAGAGTCTCGCCGTTTTCTTCCACCCGATTAGGTTCCCACATACTATACGAAACCACCCCCGCGACACGCACACGCAGTTGGATAGATGGGCCTGCTCGCACGTAGTACGTGGGGTAGTACGTGTGTGCGCCTCTCGCTTGGCACAAGCAACGTTTCGACGTTGTTTTTTGTGTCTGGCGGGCCCTTCGCTGGCCGGGTTCGGGCTTCGCCACGATTTAGTGGCCCTAATTGCAGGGTACAGCTATTTAATTACCAGGTTCGTGGGCCCTGCCGCGGTCCCGTCCCGTCCCCGGGCCCCCGCACGCCCAGACCCAAAATGCGAGTACATTCGTACGGCAAGAATACCGTAGATACGCCGAGTTCTGCCGCACAAGTCCACCCACAAAGCAGTGAGACGATCCCAGTCTGTTCGCGACTCGAGGATTCACCCGATAGGCGCCGCGCCGGTGCCGCTCGCGGGCCCGCTTCGCTCAATTTCGATCGGCATTGAGATTTCGATTCGAGATATCGAGATTTCGTCTGCTTGCATCGTGCCGCAACCATCTAGACTCGATTTTATAAACCGCCAATCGAATTTTATTCGCTCCAGTCTTGAAGCAAAATAATTCCGAATCAATGGCGGTATTAAAAGCCGCTCTGCGCGCTATAATCGAATTGTCATAAAATACTTTGAACAATAACATTATTAAAAATGTCGAAATTTGGAACGTTCTGAACCAAATTTATGCGGGAAAATCTCGGAAAATTTTCCATGCGAGATGTTCAACGACCGAACCATACGGACCATAAATCTCTGTCGATAAAACGAATTGAGGAAACGGCAATCGATTCCGTTCGGCGCGCGGAATCTTTTAATCGTCGCTAATAACAGGGTGCGCATCTGGTAAGAAACGCAGAACGCGCGCGCGGGGCTATCAAGTGATTGATAAGTCCATAAAGCATCCTTTGCTGCTCTCTCGTAATCTTCCTTTGGACCGGTGGTGGTGTCGATCAACGCTGATGGTGATAGCGACGGTAGTGGTGGTGATGGTCGGGCTGCGGTTTACGCTCGTGGAGGCTGCAAATGCGTCGTATCGTGTGTGCGTGTTTTTTGGCCGCGGGTGACGCGGTGACGAGATGATGACCCACCCGAAGTCGGAATCATCATGATTACCCCGCCCGCGTAACTCGTAATGCCGACCAAAACCACCCGAGCAACTGCCACCGTTGTGCTAGCGGTATCCTCTTATTTCTCCGCTCCGCTTAGACGCTACCGACGTCAACGCAGATTTCTATTATTAGACCGACAGGAACTAACCATCTCCGAGTTTCGTCCCGATTCATCAAACTACCGACTTGAGGAATCGACTAAAAAGATTGGCGCGTGTTTCACGACATTTCTTGATGTAGAGAATGCAGCTTCCGTTTTGCTCACAAAGCTGCACACGACCGCGCGCGTTCTTCAGATTCGAAAAGTTGTTCAACCATTTTAAAGGCGCCGATATATATTCGATAGAAATTAGATATCTGGCAAGATATTCGCTTGACCTCTATCTATTTCTTTCGTAACCCTTTCGGCGTTCTGCAAAATGAGCGCGCGAGTCGATTAGTCGGTACAGCGACGAGAGGAACGTCTTCCCGCCCTTGGGAATACGCGGGCGCGCGTGAGAGAGTTTTAATTGTAGACCACGGATACTGGGGGAGGCTATTATTCTTTCTCTGGTCGGTAAATGCAGCGCGATCCGCTCCTCTCTCTCTCACTCGGAACACGGAGAACAGGAACGAGAGATGGAGAGAAAGAGAAAGAAAGATGTAATAACAGACCATCCGTGCCCGTCTCCGCTCGAGAAGAAACGGCCATTCGTTCTTTTCGTGCGTCTGTCCGTCTATTCGTCTGGCAGTTTCATATCCAGGAGAACGCGCGCGAGTCTTGACCGACACAATTTTTCATCGTTCATCCCCTACTCGCACATTCGCGCACCGACTGCATCTCGCGCGCCACTCTCTCTTTCTCTTTTCCCCTCTTGCCATCCGAAGCTTCTTTGCTTGCAACATCGCTAAGCTTTTTATCCGGTTCGCTTGTTTTAGCCGCGGTCCGCCTTCGGCGTCATTCATCATCCCTTAACGATATCGACGCTTGTTCTCTTTACGGAAAAGTTCGTCGGCGCCACCTGGCCTCGTGCCATGTGTATCGATCTACCATAACACTTTTCACCTTTCTCCTCCACCACGGAATACAACTGTCGCTCGATGATCAATGCGGTTTCAGAAACGATGCGCAGCGGAAATCAATTTGTTTTCTTTACTTATTAAAATTTGAGAGAAATTTTGAAAAGATTAATTAACGCGTCATTACGCAGAAGTAATGTAATAATTCGAACGTATAAATTACTGAGAAAACTCGAGACATATTTTATTTGTTGAAACCAGAAGATAGCACAAGCACCTTGTCAGCGGCGCACCCTTAGCGACGCCGAAATGATCCCTTTGAACTTGTTTTTTCGGCATTTTGGCGACTGAATACAGATCACACACGCGGCTCCCACTATATCAAGTTACAAACGCTAGAGACTGACGGGGTAAAAATGAAATACCCTCAGTATTATGCGCGCGAAGGAGGGAGCCATTGAAAGAGAACGATTCTGAAAAAAAGAATTGAGCTCCGCGCGAGCTTCACACAGTTGTTTCTTTCACATGTTTTTACACGTAACATCTATCAGTTTGTATTAACCCTTTTTACTGCAGTCTATTTGCAGACAATCATGTCCAGACATGCTATGTCTTTCACTGTCACATTTTGATGCGAGCGCAAAATAACACTCTCGAATTTAATAATTTTAATTTTTCTAACATATTTTTGTTGGCGTTAAAATATTTTGTTATTTAACAATTCCTGACGAGTTGAACTCGTCATTTCAGTGCAAGGAGTTAAGTCATAATCATAGATAGACGATCGCACAATGAAAACGTAGTTTGACAAACGAAAGAAGTGAAATTGCGCAAGTGATTTCAATGGTTTTTAAAAGTCCCGATAAGATAATGATGCGTTTTACGCGAACGTGCGTTTGCTGGTTTACGCGAGTGAGCGACGAACGGTTATTATTGACTCGGCAATAAAATATATCGAGTAATCGTCCGCGCAACTGTAATTTCGCATTAACGATAATTATATCGTTAAAATTTATGTCCCGATGATACGGTATCCTGTTATTTATGATCTTAATTTAGCGCCTGAAGAGACGAAAGTACGCACGATGCAACGGTGCACAAGAACATCTTGAGTCGTCAAGTCGTCTGATAATACACGTATTCCGTTCTTTATGTGTCTTATATTTTGTGAGAAATTGCAGAAACACGACGTAATGTTTGCTCGTGTGAGATAAATTAGACGAAATATCTCTAGCGAAAAGTGTATCAATTCTCACTGACGAAAGAAATCTCATGTGAAAGATTATTACTAAGATACACGATTTTCTGTAACAAAAGATTGTCATTAACTGATATAAAATCGAGACTTCGCGTTCTTCGAGGCGTAATAACGACGCATTAACATCTCTCACTCAGTCATTGTAATTTCTCCATTGCTCTCTTGTTTGGGCGCGAAAGGAGTTTCTCTCGTGTGATCTCGTGCGCGAGCAAATGAAACAAATACAGAAAAGTTACGAGAAGAGAAACGGGGAATAAAGAAAAGAGAGAAGGTATGAGAAATAATGAAATCGTGAGAAGGGAAAAAAGATGCAGGTGGACTGAGAAGAAGCAAGAGGAAAAGGACGAGGAAGAGAACATAGGGGAACGAGAGAAGAGCTGAAGAAGAGGAAGACGAAGAGCGGCGCGGACGCTGTGCCGAACCACGTGATCGTAGAGCGTTTTAATTGGTCGGGAGCGCGATCCACGAAGCGATGGAGGGAGGACGAGATAACCAGGAAAGGAGGGAAGAACATGAAGAGGACGGTGGGGTGATCAGAGGGGTGAGGGAAGAGCGAACAGTGGTTTGTTAGGGTTGCAACGTGGATTAGACGATCGCGAGGTCGTACTCATAGTCGACGGGGACCGTCGGGTGAGGGCGGGCGCTGTTTCTGCCCCACCAGCAACACCTTCCAGGATGGAAACGTACTCGTGAGGTTCCTTAGAAACGGCCACTCGACGCACTCTCTTGGGGCACGCGCGCGCACGCACGGCCCACGCATACACAAAGACAGACGCGTATCCACGCCGATAGGAGCGGACTCGTGCGCGGTAGGGGGGCCAACGAAGAGAAAGAAGAAGAGAAACAAGATCCTGGGTAGAGAAAGACAGGAGACTGGCCTCCGTAACCGAGTCGTTCTTCTCCTACGTGGGGGGACGAAAAAGCTCAGTTATAATTGTTGCACGCCGCGAGGTGCATCTCGCGTCCCTCCGATAATTGTTGACTTCTTCCGCGTGGTCTGCAAAACTCGCGCGGGAACTCGCGTCGTACGACATCGGCCGAGTGAAAATCCGTCGCGTCCTCGACCGACCTCGTTATCGACTGACCTTCTCCACCTCGTCCGCGGCAGCTCAGAAATTACTGTGATTACCGAGATATACGAGGGCTCGTGGAGCATTCCGAGCGGACTACCGCTGTAGCCGATGCACCTTTGAACGTCATCCGGGAAGCGTCTTCTTGAAGGCGCGCGAAAGTGGGCGGCACGCTGCCGATGAATTGCGCGATTATTAAAGAAATGGATTAACAAAAAAAAAAAAAAAAAGAAATAAAAGAAACAATTTACTTATT